GCAGATTTCCATATTTATGAGGCTCAACTGCAGCAGTAGCTGATGGAATCAGGGCTCACAGAATCCCAAGCCATTTTACAATAGCGCACAGCGTAATCCAGACGTAATTCTGTGGGTAGATGGGCATCCGCCAATTCCACCATTTTCTGGAGTTGAAGCTTGCGATATTGAGCCTTGAAACTTTTGATGATGCCACTATCCAGTGGTTGCAGATTGGCAGTCATATTTGGTGGAAGGAAGTGTATCTTTATGTTGCTGAGACCATCATTAGGGACGCAGTGAGACGTTATCTAACAACAGTAGTATACGATGTCCTTCAGAGACAAGCTGCTTGTTGAACTGCAGTAGCCATTCTTGAAAGATACTAGAGGTCATCCATGCTTTGCTGTTAGATGTGTAAGTGCAGTAGAAGTGTGGACTAAAGTTTCTGAAGCATCGAGGCTTTGCCGATTTTCCAATAATCAGCAATCGCCGCTTGTCTGTTCCATTAGAGTTGCAGCACAGTAGAACAGTGATTCGTTGCTTCATCCTTTTGACACCACGGCAGCTTTCATCTTTGTGAGCAAGTGTTCGGTCAGGAATGAGCTGAAAAATAATCCTGTTTCGTCTGCATTGTATATGTTAGCTGGATCATATCCGGAGTTCGCCAGAATACTGTTCAAATTTGTAAGATGTTTATCAATGATAGCTTGAGAAATCGATGCGCCTTCCCCACAGAGCCGTCGTTGCGAAATATGGAATCTCCCTTTAAATCGCTGCAGCCACCCACTGCTGTACGCAAAATTTTCTGGTACGTCCAAATGCTCGCCAAGTTTTTTTGCCTTTTCTCTTAAGATATCATCAGTAATAATAATATTATTGGCACGCTTTTGGGTAAACCAGTTGAAGAGAGCGTCTTCCAAGTCACTAAATTTTCCGACTCTTTGTCTCTTTGAAGAACCAACAGTATAATTTTCCCACTTCTCAGCCTGAGTGAGAATATCACGGACAGTTGTTCGTGGAAGTGAGAAACGCTTTCCAATCTCATTCTTCGACATCGTAGGGTTATTTCTTGCCAACTGGCATATCTCCTTCTTCTTTTCAATGGTGATCGACTCACGTTTACGCTTTTGGGAACTCATGATACGACAATAAAGTTGTTGTGTTGACGTTAGCAAAGGATGAAGCGACTGTGTATGTCCCAGGAACAAGCAGGAAAAGGGTCTGCTGGCTGTTCACACAATCTGTTATCTGTTGTGTCAACAGCAAACAAAGTCCGGCGCCATTGGCGTAAAAAATGCAGACAGGAAAGGGGGAGCGGGGGGGGGGGGGGTGAGGGACGTTGTGAGCGGCGCTATAACGAGTGGTTTTTGCTACTTGGGATACGAAAAATCAGCGGCGGAAGGCGAACAGCGAGGGAGTGGCGTTATATCGAGAAAAATACATTGATGTCAATTGGGACAAAACGAAAAAGCGGCGTAAGGCGAGGGTGGCGTTATATCGAGTGGCGTTATAACGAGAGTAGACTGTATAATCAATATATTCTGTAAGGGATTTAATTTTAAATTTGAAATATAAGGTAACAAGACCAAATCAATAATTTGGGTGTGTTATTTCAGTAACAACATTATCAACAGACACTAAATCCATTCAATCCTACACAATTTATTGATTTAGTCATATTACCTTATGTTTTAGGGGGGTCGATGGAAGGATGGTCTAAACCTTTGGTTTTTGACCGCTACGATCCGGGATTGAATCCTGCATTGGGCACTTTTTTCTAATTAAAAAAATGCTCCAATGGCCCCCGTATTCTTGCAAAAGTCCAACCACACCAGCGACTGCAAGTAACCAAATGGGGCTCTGGCATATTTGTAAGTGCAAAAGTCAAATTGCTTTTTACATTTGTAGACATGTAGTGCACTTACAGTAAAATCATTTGCTAACTACCCACCATAAATATCATGGCTTGTACCGTACTAGGGATAATAAAAAAAAAATATATATATATATACAAGGAAAATAAGATAATTAAATATTTAACTTGAAAAATAGTTATTCTATTTTCTTGAAGGGTACAATCTGGTCCAGAGATCTTCGCTTCTGTTACTCCTGTAAACAGTTGTCTTACCCACACACTAACCTTTCCTAATATACACCAGGTAATATGACCAAATAGATAAATAGTGTGTGACATTTCGGTAACAGCATTGTTACCATCTTCAGACAAAAGTACTGAATGTGCACAAGGTAATAAGACTAAATCCAAATAAAAAAATAGTGTGTGACGTTTCTGTAACAGCATTGTTACTATCTTCACCAGATTCAGTACTTTTGTCTGAAGATGGTAAGAACGTTGTTATCAAAATGTCACTCACTATCTATTTATTTGGATTTGGTCTTATTACCTTGTATTTATAATCTATAATCCAAATTGTGCCTTATCATCCTTTTCTAATATAATTAATATAATCTGTCAAAATATAGAAATCGGTGAATAATATTTTGCAACTACGTGTAATTGTTTTACAATGAATAAAATAATAATTTTTCCAAAGATAAAATATTGCTGTATCATGCCAATCAAACCTGATGAAGCAATCACAAGGTAATAAGACCAAATCCAAATAAATAAATACTGTATGATGTTTCGGTAACAACGCTGTTACCGAAACATCACACACTATTTATTTATTTGGATTTGGTCTTATTACCTTGTGTTTATAATCTATAATCCAAATCCCTTGGCAGGGCTGACTGCTATAGGGCACGTCCCCAGGTGGCAGATAGGGGAACGACCTTCAGATATGAAGGCCAGCTGCGAAACAAGCAGAATAACTCTGACAAATAAGCAGTCGCGGACCAACAGCAGCATTGTTAGAAGAGGAGAAAGACCTCTTTAAAAATCCTGACTTCAACTGACCCGGTTGATAGATCTTAGCAAGGGTCCCACTCCAGGGATACGGAGGAGCTGCGTCTGTACTCATGTTAGAGTCGGCAGCAAAGGTTTCCATGTTAGGAACAGCCTCAAATTACAGGCAAAGTCAGACTTTCACCAAAGTGTGCCTTGATCATGGTGCCATGATCAACGAAAGCTGCACCCCTATACCCCATTCCATGAGATCATGGAATTCGTGTAATCTTTACACAAGGGGATAAGAAACAATAACAACAATAATCCAAATTGTGCTTTACCTGATGTAGCAATGTCATTTAGGTAGATATTGAAGAAAATAGGGCTTAGAGTAGATAAACGCATTTATGAGAATCTGACTTCGGACAGGTATAGGAGCTCCATTCAATCTATCAAACAAGATACTGAAGGAGGACTTAAACCTTAACAACAAAGCTCGGATAGCTTGCTGCATCCTGGATGTCTGGCCTTATCTAAATAGTTGTGGCAGACCTTGACTGTATCTTCTTGCCAGACTTCTTCTGGTCTCCAACCTAATTGAAGCCTATTTGCTTCCTTAAAAGTGCCCACAACACACTGATGACACTAATGATTCACAAACACCCGATTGTTACTGACACACTTTAATTAAAACTAAACACATCCTTATATACAGAATTATATTTACAAGTATGTAAATCTTCTGGCTGAATAAGCAAAAAAGAGAGAAATTTACATAACCAGCGTCTCCACCTACTCAATCTAGAAGATATGTACCAAAAATTTACGTTAAGAAATTATACTTTCAACTACAAAATTTATTACGATGCACTAGCGCGCCATCTGTTATCAAATTACAAAACTATTTTAGAGGCGTAATATTCTTTTTAAAATAAAACAAAGTTGTCGGTACTTTGCAGATGTAATTTTAAATCTTCCAGAGTTTCACATTGGACCAAATTGGTGTAATCCGAATGTGTTAAAATTCCACTATAGAATCCTCTTACAATACCTTCTAAATATCCATTATCGATATTAAAAATTGTTTCAAGCATTTTTAAATTTTATACAAACGGCGCAATATTTAGGGCGAACATTAACTATCAAATCTAACTATACAAGATTGAGACTGACTCGTTCTGATGTAATCATTGGATGTGATTAATTTACTTAGTCTACACGTTGTTCTAACCGTTGTAAATGACAATTTTGTGTACACATTTCATACAGTGTACATATTTCAAGCTACTATTTCTAATTACTATATGAAAAATTTGACACCGGTTTTGTAATTTGCATATTTCCCAATGTTCAATTATGTTAATTTCACGATGATTTGCATATAATTTCATATTTACATGCAATTATCCTAATTGTGGATATGGCGTGTCTTTGCAACTGTTAAATAAATATACTATACAAGATATTCTTCAAAATAAAAGAGATATCAATCTCTGTTTCTGTCGACCCGGCACTGATGCTTAGTTAGGAATTCAACAGCTGCAGGTCTTAACTATCAGATCATTGTTAATGCTGTTGTCTTCTTCTTCTTTCGTATCTCTTTTTTTTTTTTTGCTTATCCCTTATACACGTGGTACAGGCCATGATAATCATGGTGGGTAGTTAGCGACTGCTTTTACTGTAAGCGCACCACAGGTCTACACATGTGAAAAGCAGTTCGACTTTGCACTTACAAATGTGCCAGAGCCCCGTTTGGTTACTTGCACTCGCTGGTGAGGTTTGACTTTGGCAAGAAACGGGGGCCATTGGAGCTTTTTTTTTTTTTAATCGGAAAAAAAGTATCCAATGCGGGAATTGAACCCGGGTCGTAGTGGTCGAAAACCAAACGGTTTAACCAGCTTTCCACCGACTCCCAATGCTGTTGTTTTTTTTTTTTTTTTTTTGCTTATCCCTAGTACACGTGGTACAGGCCATGATAATCATGGTGGGTAGTTAGCGACTGCTTTTTACTGTAAGTGCACCACATGTCTACACATGTGAAAGCAGTTCGACTTTGCACTTACAAATGTGCCAGAGCCCCGTTTGGTTACTTGCACTCGCTGGTGGGGTTGGACTTTTGCAAGAAACGGGGGGCCATTGGAGCATTTTTTTTTTAAACAGAAAAAAGTGTCCAATGCGGGGATCGAACCCGGGTCGTTGTGGTCGTAAACCAAACGGTTTAACCAGCCTTCCATCTAATGCCGTACATGACTGGTACAGAGCAGGAGGGACAACCACCAGTTCTGTCCACCCAAGGTATCAACAGTCTTTGATTTCCAGACTTAGGTCTGGTCATCTACGGACAATGACTTTCCAGAATGGTTGCAAGGTTTTCCCACTATGTACTAAGTGTACACCTGCAACCCCAAAACACGTTATTGACTGTATTTACTCATCCATTGATAAGCACTACTTGACACCCTAATATGATTGAGTGAAGATAAGAAAGAAGATCATTGTTAAGAAGCTATCCTCCTACAAGGTCTACTCCACCAACTCGCCATATGTAAACAACCAGGACAAAGTGAGCTGTGCTCGAATGTAAAAACTGTAAACCGAGACGAAATAAATAAATTGTTGTTTCTTATCCCCTTGTGTAAAGATTACACAAATTCCATGAGTTTATGATATCATGGAATGGGGTATAGGAGTGCAGCTTTCGTTGATCATGGCACCATGATCCAGGCACACTTTGGTGAAAGTCTGACTTTGTCTGTAATTTGAGACTGTTCCTAACATGGAATCCTTTGCTGCCGACTCTAACATGAGTACAGACACAGCTCCTTTGTATTCCTAGAGTGGGGCCCTTGCTGAAGACCATCAAACGAGTCAGTTGAACTCACGATTTTTAAAGAGAATAAATTAATTAATTAGTGTAGACCCACCTTGAGGTAGACCCTGATAAATCCAAGTAGTTTTTGATATATTGCTATTGAAATTAACCCCTGTGTGTTTGGATAGAAAGTTGCTGATCCAACTCAGCATACTTCCCTCTATCCCAAGTTTGAGAATTAGTTTTTCCTTCCAGACTTTGCCGAAGGCTTGGGAAAGGTCAATGAAGGCTGCTATAATGATAAGGTACAATTTGGATTATAGATTATAAACACAAGGTAATAAGACCAAATCCAACTAAATAGTGTGTGACATTTCGGTAACAGCGTTGTTACCATGATTCAGTACTTTTGTCTGAAGATGGTAACAAGGCTGTTACCGAAACATCACACACTATTTATTTGGATTTGGTCTTATTACCTTGTAAAGGCTGCTATAGTTGATCATATAGATTTATGATGGAAGCTGTCCTGGATTTGTTGAACAAAGTAAAAGATTGAATCCTCTGTGATTTAATATTTTTTATATCTCTCTGATGAGGATCTAGTAGGTTACGATGCACTAGCGCGCCATCTGTTATCAAATTACGAAACTATTATAGACGCGTAATATTCTTTTTAAAATAAAACAATTTCTACTGCCCTTACTGCAATGGAAAAATTAAAGGGAGGGCCTGGCTCATCAGCTATAAAAGGAATTTCCAAAAATGCATTATAACAGCGGTATGGTAGATTAAACTGGCGAAACTGCTGGGAGGGTTCACCACTGATGGGGGGGTCGGTGGAAGGCTGGTTAAACTGTTTAGTTTTCGACCACTACGACCCGGGTTAGATTCCCGCATTGGACACTTTTTTCTGTTTAAAAAAAAAAAAAAATGTTTAAATGCTCCAATGGCCCCCCGATTCTTGCAAAAGTCCAACCCCACCAGCGAGTGCAAGTAACCAAACAGGGCTCTGGCACATTTGTAAGTGCAAAGTCGAACTGCTTTTCACATGTGTAGACATGTGGTGCGCTTACAGTAAAAAAAGCAGTCGCTAACTACCCACCATGATTATCATGGCTTGTACCGTACTAGGGATAATAAAAATATTCTATATACAGTTACGAGCGTCATGCGTTCTTAATAATTCTTCATCTCTGTCACCGTTTGCTTTTTTTTGGAATGGCGCTCTCCTATTGGTTGGCTACGATCACGCCACCTTTGCCCCCCCCACTCGCTTTTTGGTTTTTGTAACTATTGTGTTGGAGCGGGTCGCTCCTTAAATAATCTTTTGTTAACAATACCTCATTATAGGACCGCAAATATCGAAAGTATAGGTATGTAGCTTTTGTACTATTAAGGTGTATATATATACACATACTTATGTACATATGTAAGTACTATTATCATTAGGGATATATATGTCACATCTACATAAATGTAGATATAATACTATATACTCTACTAATATATGCATTTATATAAGGCGCCAATTTATAATTGTAACAAATAGTATTTGAATAAAAACATTCAATCGGGTAAAACACGGGCGTTGCCCAGGTCATTCGGCTAGTATATATATATATACTAGATGAATGGCCCGGGCAACGCCCGGGTTTTATCCGAGTGCGTATATATTTTTAAAATGTTTTAATTAAAATACTATTCGTTACAATTATAAATTGGCGCCGTGGATGTCTCTCTTGTGAAATGTCCCGCCCCAAACTGTGTGTGTCTTGAAAATATAAAAATAAAAAATGTGAACGGAAAAATATGTCCAGGGTAGCCTAGTGGTCATGGCATCTGCCCGGTAAGCGGAAGGTCGTGGGTTCGATACCCATCCCTTGACACTTTTTTTATTTTATCCATTCTGACCAAAATCTATCCGTGAACTTCACACAGACAGAAGCATTAGATAATGATAATGATCATAATGATGATGCGCGCGCATCCGTGACAGCGATGAGGAATTGATTGAGGAAAGACGGTCGTGACTATATATGTTGACTAGACGAATGGCCCGGGCAACGCCCGGGTTTTCCCCAAGTGCGTATATATTTTAAAAATGTTTTAATTAAAATACTATTCGTTACAATTATAAATTGGCGCCGTGGATGTCTCTCTTATGAAACGTCCCGCCCCAAACTGTGTGTGTCTTGAAAATATAAAAATAAAAATGTGAACGGAAAAATATGTCCAGGGTAGCCTAGTGGTCATGGCATCTGCCCGGTAAGCGGAAGGTCGTGGGTTCGATTCCCATCCCTTGACACTTTTTTTATTTTATCCATTCTGACCAAAATCTATCCGTGAACTTCACACAGAGAGAATAAGGCAATTATATAAGTAGATAATCCAAATTGTGCCTTATCACACACTATTTTTTTATTTGGCCTTATTACCTTGTGTTTATAATCCATGACGTAATGCCGGCGGCGCGCGCCCATTGGCTGCCGGCGAGCACGTGACCTCCCTGTGCGCGCGCATCCGTGACAGCGATGAGGAATTGAGGAAAGACGGTCGTGATTATATATATTAATAATAATAATATAATAATAATTATTATTATTATTATCATTAGATAATGATAATGATCATAATGATGATGCGCGCGCATCCGTGACATGACGGTGGAAAGACGGTCGTGACTATATATGCTGATGATAATAATAATAATATAATAATAATTATTATTATTATTATCATTAGATAATGATAATGATCATGCGCGCGCATCCGTGACATGACGGTGGAAAGACGGTCGTGACTATATATGTTGATAACAATAATAATAATAATATAATAATAATAATTATTATCATTAGATAATGATAATGATCATAATGATGATGCGCGCGCATCCGTGACATGACGGTGGAAAGACGGTCGTGACTATATATGTTGATAATAATAAAATAATAATAATAATATAATAATTATTATCATTAGATAATGATAATGATCATGATGATGATGCGCGCGCATCCGTGACATGAGGAATTGATTGATTGAGGAAAGACAGTCGTGACTATATATGTTGATAATAATAAAATAATAATAATAATATAATAATAATAATTATTATTATTATCATTAGATAATGATAATGATCATAATGATGATGCACGCGCATCCGTGACATGAGGAATTGATTGATTGAGGAAAGACGGTCGTGACTATATATGTTGATACAAGGAAAATAAGATAATTAAATATTTAACTTGAGAAAAATAGTTATTCTATTTTCTTGAAGGGTACAATCTGGTCCAGAGATCTTCGCTTCTGTTACTCCTGTAAACAGTTGTCTTACCCACACGCTAACCTTTCCTAATATAATTAATATGCATCAAAAAATAGAAATCTGTGAATAATATTTTGAAACTAATTTTTACAATGAATAAAATAATAATTTATCCCAAGATAAAATATTGCTGTATCATGCCAATCAAACCTGATGAAGCAATCACAAGGTAATAAGACCAAATTCAAATAAATAAATAGTGTATGATGTTTCGGTAACAACGATGTTACCGAAATGTTACACACTATTTATTTATTAGGATTTGGTCTTATTACCTTGTGTTTATAATCTATAATCCAAATTGTGCTTTACCTGATGTAGCAATATCATTTAGGTAGATATTAAAGAGAATAGGGCTTAGGGTAGACAAACGCATTTATGAGAATCTGCCTTAGGATAATTATAGGAGCTCCATTCAATCTATCAAACAAGATACTGAAGGAGGACTTAAACCTTAACAACAAAGCATGGAAAGCTTGCCGCATCCTGGATGTCTGGCCTTATCTAAATAGTTATGGCAGAGCTTGACTGTATCTTCTTGTCAGACTTCTTCTGGTCTCCAACCGAATTGAAGCCTATATGCTTCCTCAAAAGTGCCCACAACACACTGATTGACACTAATGATTCACCAACACTCGATTGTTACTGACAAACTTTATTAAAACTAAACACATCCTTATATACAGAATTATATTTACAAATATGTAAATCTTCTGGCTGAATAAGCAAAAAAGAGAGAAATTTACATAACCGGCGTCTCCACCTACTCAATCTAAAAGATATGTACCAAAAATTTCCGTTAAGAAATTATACTTTCAACTACAAAATTTATCAAATCCAACTAGTCAAGATTGAGACTGACTCGTTCTGATGTAATCATTGGATGTGATTAATTTACATAGTCTACACATTGTTCTAACTGTTGTGAATGGCAATTTTGTGTACATATTTCATACGCTGTACTTATTTCAAGCTACTATTTCTAATTGCTATATGAAAAATTTGACACCAATTTTGTAATTTGCGTATTTCCCAATGTTCAATTATGTTAATTTCACGGTGATTTGCATATAATTTCATATTTACACGCAATTATC